AGCGACATACAAAGCAAACAATACAAATAGGCTATAAGACTACTAAAACAGAGAACAAAACCATTTTTAATGGATTCTACACATTTTTCTTGATTTACTGAGACTTGAATGGGCTTAAACGGAGCACGGATGAATTAGTTATGAATTTTAGAAGATTCACTGTGTTTATTACTATGACAAAAAGTCCTTAAATAATTTATTGCGCAATTAATTCCCAGGGCTGACGTCATCAAGGGGGCGGCGCCGACGGGCGGGGCCCGCATGTCAGCGGCTCAAGGGGAGAGAGGGGCGCCGGCAAGTAGGGCCCCCGGGTCAGCGGCCCAAGGCTGCCGATCCACCGTGGACCGGGACCACGCGGGTGGTCCACCGCCGGTCCACGGGACCGACGGCCCAGATCGCCCCAGGACCGATCGGACGGGCGGCGGCGACCCGGCTCAGCTCGGCTCAAGGCTGGCCGACTGGCCACGGTGATGGCGACGGCGCACGCGCGCGCACGCGTTGCCGGCGATGGCAACCGGCGGCGGAGGCTGCGGCGCGAAGGCGGCGGCGCTAAGCGGCGGCTAGGAAGGAGAGGGAGGGGAATAGAGGGGAGAGGGATGCCTCACCGAGAGTGGCCGGCGCGGAGGAGGACGACGACGAACGGCGACGGCGACCACGGGCAAACGGCGGCGACGGGCGGACGAGGTCCAGAATGCCCTAAGGGAGGAAAAGAGAGAGGTTAGAGGGAGGGAGACGAACCACGGCGGCCGGCATCCATGGCCGAAGGCGGCGGTAGGGGTAGAGCTCACCAGAGCGCGAGGGGATGCGGGTTCCGGCGACGAATCTCGACGGAGGAAGGGCGGACGGGGTGGAGTTCGTCCTTGCGAACCCGACGGTGGCGACGGCGCGGTGCGGCAGTGAGCCTAGCGGCGGCTAGCGGCGGCCGGAGTAGCGGGAGCGGCGGCGGCGGGTGGTTGCACGGCGCGGGAGCGATGGGGAGCACGAGGGAGTTCGGCGAAATAGGGAAAAAGAGAGAGGGGGCGACGGCGGAGCTTAAATAGGGGAGGGGAATCCCGGACGTGGCCGGTAGGGGCGGGATTCCGCCGGCCAACGCGGGGAGTGGGGGAGGAGAGAGAAAATCGAATCCCGGCCATCTCGTGTGCGGGCGCGGGCGGGAGAGAGAGGGGAGTGGGCGCGGGAGGTGCGGCGCATGCGCGGGCGTGGCCGACGTGGCCCGGAGGAGGTGGAGACGTGGGCGCGGCGGCGGTTGCGGGCGCAGCGGCGCGGCGCGAGGTGGGAGACGGGTCCGACAGGTGGGCCCCACCTGTCGGTGACCCGGGTGAGAGGAGGTGGGCGGCCAGCTCGCGCGGCCTAGCTGGGCCTTGGCCTTCGGCCGGCCCAGCGGGAGGGGAGGAAGGAAGGAGAATGGGCCGGCGGCCATTCAAAGAAAAAGAGAAAGGAAAAGAAAGAAAAAGAAAAAGAATTTTCCCAGGGATTTAAATATTGCTTATGCTCAATTTTAATTGGTTAAAATTATTTCTAGAGCTCTGAAAATTCCACTAAAAATCTTGTTAGCGTATTTCGACATGTAGAACTCAAGAAAAATTCCACATGCCAATTCCGATTATTATTTGCATTAATTTATCAAGGTTTACTCTTGCTTTACACAGGTATTTTCTTGAGACCATTTATAACTTCAATTTAGGCTTGGGAAAGAAATTCGGGGTGTGACAAAAAAAATACTGGGTTCCATGTTGAGCCCACAAAATAATAAAAAATAATGGAGCCCATGTGGTGCCCACATATCAATGAGACATAAAAATAAAGAAATGGAAAAACAAAATGGACCTACTCGTCATCCCCTATCCATTTCTCTCCATCCCCATCTCTGGCGACATCGCTAGCCAGTGAGCTTGCCATTTTGTCCACGAGAAGGCGGTGATTGTGTTAACAGTGAAATTTGGTAAGCTAGAGAATTATCACATCACCAATAGTCGGATTCCTGCTATATTCGGTTAAGTAAATTAATCTATTAAAGGAAACTTATCCAGAAGTGACCGAATTCAAGGAGGATGCGACATGGAAAGTTATCTATCAATTAGAAATAGTTTGTTGGTTTCCTTTTATCTTTAGAAAAGTGTGTTTAGCGGTAAGCAAAGAATAGAATCAACTGGCATTTTGTCATTGATGTACAATAGTATATCCTTAAAGTGCAGGAAGTTCCATGGTATTCTATCAGTGGCTCAGTGCAGAATGAGTACTCCACAGGAAATTTGGAATAGTTCTCTTTTTTTTTTGTTACATGTAATGCATTAAGGAAGCAACGTGAGATGCTTAGAGGAAGCAACAACTTGACAAGATAGAGTTCCATCTCCTATCATGAAAAACAGTACGACTTAACACGATTACTGCAACAAAAATTATGCTAATGGTCGAAACAGCATTGGAACACACCAAATAGAACTTTTTAGGAAAAAATAACCTACCATAGAACAGAAGTCATTGTTGGTTCTCCAGAAAACCTTAGGGGTGGTTCTCCAGAAAACCTTAGGGGAGGAATCCAAAAGAAAGGAAATGATAAGAATAAAAGAAAAAAAATACAGAACAATATTTAATTATCAACAAACAGGCAGATAGGATATGAAACTCATGTACCAAAAAGTTTCAATAATAGCTGCAATGGAAATGGAGTGTCTTACACAAGTTTAACCACAGAGTTGCAACAAAATAGATGGCATTGCGATGGCACCACAACATATGCCTTGCTGCTGTAGACATATGATTGAATAAATGTTCACAATCAAGTGATCAACAGGGAAGCTAGCTTTGGGTTTAACATAATACCATACAAACTCCAAAAGTCTAGATTATACAACTTCAGCACATACTCAAGCTATATTATACAACTTCAGTACATACTCAAGAAATCTATAGGTGAGCTCGACCTCGAGCACCTACTCGGGCACCTATTCATTTGCTGACTTGAGCACCTCCTTGGATATGGGTGTGGGGGTGGCAGTTTTCTTGGTACGTTGGCGGGGGAAATGATCACCCCTCCTTTCCCCTTCTTGCTCAGCGGGCAGTGTGGTTGAAAAATCATGAAAACTTTATCTGCCTTCTTGGTCTGCGGATAACAAGTTGCCAAGGTCATCAAGACAGTTAGCCGGCGGCGAGCATCAGGAAGCTATCCTGGTGGGCATTTGCGGTGAGCTTAATGGAGTCCACCCTATCAGTTCGAAAAGGAAAACATCGATGAGAAAACATTTTCGCACAAAACATTTTGCACCAAATTCACAAAACATTTTGCACCAAATTGCAATCTCAGATTTATGGCTCACTCAATGTTAGATTTCATCAGCTGAAACTCTATCATGAGGACGTTGAAATCAGCCCGCAACAGGTCCATCTCCCGACCGAGATCACGGATAAGTAAGCCGCCGGGCAGTGGCTAGGATGGTAGGGGGTGTCTGCGAAGTGTAGAAGAGACGTGCGAACCACGCAGGTGGCGTAGATGCGGCGGCGCCGGTTGTCGTCGCGGCGGATGGGCACGGAAAAAATAAATAAGGATTAGGGTTTTTAAGACTTATCACGGGAAGAGTGGAGATCGTACCCTCGTCGTGTACAGGAGAGTAGAGTCCAGCGGCTGAGGAGCCCGGCGCCGGCGCCAGTGGCGGTGGCGGCCATAGTGGCGGTGGCGGAGGCGGCCATGGGAAGAAAGATGGGGTTTTGGTCTTTGCAACGCGCTCTTCCACTCTGCCTCACCGTGATTAAGTACACTTTAAGTCCCTCTCTATCGAGTTCATTTTTAATCGCAACCCTTTGATCTCAATTCTAAAACTATCCCGTAAAATCATGTTAAATAGCGTAACGAGACAGTACTAGAAAATCGGCGTGTCGTTGGCACACTTGCTAATCAGAATATATATATATATATACTTATCACTCAAAAATAATAAATGATAAAATTGGTGTGCTTGTGAATTTGAATTTTTTTAAAGATCAATCATTTAATATATTCAGAGTTTTTTAAACATATCATGTTTAACAAAAAAATACAATCATTTTTTTAAGCTGCGGAGGTATTAATGATCCTATTTCATGATATAAGTTTGTCTTCTTTCTTTTTTTAGATTTTTCAAGGTTATTTTCTTTTTTTGGATTTTTTTAATAATAATTTTGGGTTTACTACATATTCTGAGTTATAGGAGTAACGAGTAGGTATAGGATATTTAAAGAAGGAAAATAAATGTAAATTTGTTGTTTTAGATTTGTTTTTTCTTAATAATTTTGAGTTTACTATATATTTTAGAGTTATAGGAGTAGCGAGTATGTGTGGTATATTTATAGAAGACAAAGGAGTAGAAGTTTGTGGTTGGAAAGGGAGATAGTTTTGGAAGCCTCTAGAATCCATATGTGATATTTTTCTCTAGATTTTTCCTCACATATGATTAGGTGTTTTTTCTCTAGTATAAATTTATGATTTTTTCTTCAAAGTAAGAGACGCCAAGTGGACCAATCAAAAGCTAGCAAAAGCTTTAGATTATTAGATATGGATAGCTGTTTCAGCAGGTGTGTCATGCTAGTGAGCAAAAACAAAACTAAAATGAAACATATGGGGCATATGTCAGATCCAAATTCAACATCTCTTTTTTTTTACCTGTGTTTTTAATAACGATTTAAAAAAAATCAATTATGTAAAATAAACAACGGTGCAAACCCCCCTCAAAATCAACTCCAAAATTAAGATTCAAAATTCAATTTTTGGTTATGGATCATATAAGCCAAGAAGAAAAAGAAGAAAGAAAGAAGTACACCAATGTTCAGAGAAAGAGAAGGTGAAGATATGCACTGACAAAAGAAGGCAAAGGAAAAGCCATTGAAATTGCAATCATGCAGGAGCAACTCTAAAAAAGGGGTTGATGCTGCAAGTGCAACCAAGCTGTACTTTACTCTGAAGGGAAAGCAGAAACTCCCCTAAATATAAGGGACGCGTCATTTACACATGTTAATACACCATCTGATGACTGTAAAACCCACAGGTAAAGTAGGTCTAAAATGGTGCAAAATTTGCATGCAAGGTTCATTACAGAAAAAATTGGGAGCTAAAATAGGGGCCTGAAAGTTACATCATGCACGGTGATTTTCATTTCCAGGAGACAACAGTTCAGTGATTAGGCATTACTTTTACAAAAGCCAGCAGTCATCGAGTGCTAAGATTCATCGATGATGGCTTCCAAAGAACTAGTGCTTTCATTTTTCCTTTCTTGCTGAATACATCATATTACAGTAATTAACAAAGAAATGAAGAAAATTGGATGGAGTCAAGGGCTGTCATGAGGCGCACCTATGAGCGCAAAAATCATGGTATGCAATGCACCAAGTGGCACCACAATTTTTTGTTAGGGCTCTTGGCTGTTCACGCGTTTCTGAAGCTCCAGCATTTCTTGGTGATTTGGATCCAGAGAAAGGGCGGCTCGACAGTCGCGAAGAGCGCTGGGGACATCCCCGATATGCTCGTGGAACGCCGCGCGAAGATGCAATAGGTGGAGGTCAGCTTTGAATGCAATCGCCCTGGTTAGCTCTGCAATTGCTTCTTTCTCCTTGTGACTATCCATCAGTACTGCAAACCAAAGCCATCAAAAATCTTTTAACTACTCCATTTCTTAAAAAACAACTACATCAGATATAAAACACGCTTTCAGTGTTGAAAGTTGCATGTTCAAATAAGAGAAATGAATACACAGAGGAAATTATAGGTAAGGAATACTGCAATGGTGCAGTTCAGTCAATAGTTCACTAACTAAATTTGCTCTGACAAAAAGAAGATTCAGTAATGACAGCAGACATTTACTCTACTTAAAAGATGGTAGCAACAAAGTATCTGTTTTGTCCAGCAAGGATGATGAACAAATTAACAGTTCTCCATGCAGAAGCCAAGATAAGGTATAGAGTAACCTACATAGTAACATAGTATTCAAAACTAAAGGTAATTCTCAACTATTAAGTAAACTTTAGTCTTTTTACCTGCTGCACGGTATCTGTACGGGTAAACACGTAATGGATCCAACTGGGTCACTATTTGCAAATCTGTCATAGTTTGCTCTCGTTCACAATATTCCGAACGTTTCTCATAAGCTGAAGCATTGTTTTTAGCTTTCTCTATCAACTTTGTCATTTCTTCATATGCAGCATCCCTGTTATTCCTGAGAAAATGAACACGGGCAAGACCTTGATGTGCCCTAGTGTGTCGGATCTTCAAAGCACTCGTGTAGCAATCAGCTGCTGCGTCTAACTTCTCACAATCAACATAAACACCACCAAGATTGTTCAAAGCCTGCAGGTGGAATTATGCAATATTAGAGAAAAGCTTATCATAAGGAACAATCGAGAGCAACTTGTTGGATCTGACTAAGCAAGATAGGATCAAATTTTGGATGTTTGTATTACTGGCAGTCATAATACAGTATTTAGGATCTATTTGTCTTAACTAGTAGGATCAATTTCAGACAAAAATCATAGCAAGAATGTCGCCCTTTGGTCCATGATTAAGTTAACCGACACTTTTCATGTTCAGATTCTTTAACTTCTCTCTTTTTGTTCATGCATCTCCACATCATGGACATGCATAAAACAGAGTAGGTATATAGTATGTTGCACTGATGATACCTCAACATCAAGGATATAAAATTTTGAGTTATTGGAATAGTTTTGAACAATAATATAATTTATAATTAGCCAGACAAGACAACATTATCCTTTTCTCACCAGCAACTCTTATTTCACTGAGACAACTGATCACTGTCCACAAATGCAAGTTTTTTTTAATGGTCTCATTGAAAAATTTAAGGCATATTTAATATCACAATGCAAAATAAGTGTGTATACACTCTATAGTCTATACTCTAAGTTATATCCAGCTTTCTATAGCAGCTAGAGATCTCTCAGTCTATGTGCAAAACAGAATATTCCCGCAATTTGGAGGGAACAATATAAAAGGAATTTTCTCACGCCTCATACTTAAATGTTTGGAGGGAACAATATAACAATATTAAATGTTATCTTCGCTTTATTTACTGTCGAGCAAAGCATGCAGGGTCTTAAAAATATAGAAAGTTTGGGAAAACCAAGTTGCTCTCCACCTTACCAAGTCTGAGCAATGTGAGATAAACTAAGTGTTCAAAACAAATCAATTAGCATAAGTGAATGCTACGTTGAAGCATTTGTGTGCTGGTGCGCAACAATACTAACCTGACCCTTCCGAAGCCGGTCTGAAGGGCACTTTAGTGCATCTTCAAGAAGCGATATAACAGTCGCAGAATAAGAAGGATCAACACCTGAGTCAGCCAAAACATAGGCTTTCAGAAAGAAAGCCTCAAATGACCTTTGAATAGAAATAGATTCCTCTGCTTTTTGTAGGGCCTCCTCACAATGCCCAGTATCGTACAAAAGCCACCCCTCATACACTAGCCGTTCATGCTCAGTTGCTGCATGTTGCCGTGCCAATTGCAAACTGCGCATTGCAGCCTCAGGACAGTTCAACCTGTAAACAAAAAAATATTAAGCATCATCTATAGTTATGTTGAGAGTTGAGACCAAAATGGCCACAAGGGAATCAACAGAGTGAGGTGCTAGTATAACTAACCTAAGGAGCAGCAAAGATTGTCTGAAATACAAAACACCTTTTGCTGCATCTGACTCAAGCATCCGGTAAATCACTGAAAGGGAACCAATATCATCCACTGATGACCAGCGTTCATACAGCTGAAGCCAACACTCAGCTGTATTCCACTGCTCGACATGTGCCCCAAGAAGAGTGCCTATTTTGGAAGCAGCTACACGACCTTCCAACATTCGGTACTCAGGAGAAAGTGTAAGGATAGCATGGATATCACAAATTGCAGATTTGTAGTCTTCGAGAGCAAGATATAGACAAATCCGGAGCTCCAAGCATTCCAATGCTAGCTTGAAACCCAATAGTCGGTTGATTTCCTCTAAGGCAAGTCTTGCATCCTTTTTTCTCATCAAGGATGCAGCTCGATACATGTAAGGGTAAGTGAGAGTTGGATCCAGCTCAGTTGCTTTGTCAAGGTCACCCAACTTTTTATCACCCTCTGAATACAGAGATCTCTCCATATACATCCATCCTAGTGGTACACTTGATGTTATGACCGAACTGAGCTTCTCATAAGCCAAACCCTTTCTACCTCTTGTACCAGCAATTCTAGCAAGACCAGCAATGGAATACACATGACCAGCTGAGAAGGCAACACTAAATTGGTGTTCAGCTTCATTATATTCCTTCCTTAAAAGCCTAATGCATCCAAGCTGATGAAAAGCTATTTGCTTCTGTGTAGGAGTAACAGCCAATTGAACAAGCTTCTCTGACAAGCACACGGTTGCCTCCGTCCTTGGATCAATGTTCATTGCAACCTCACTAAGCAAGCAATATAACAAAAAGGAGGCATGTCCAACCATGATGCATTGCTGCTGTTCAGTTGCACTTAGGAATAGGCTAACTACATGCTCATCATTTAGACAATCTGGAAGCTCCTGCAGAAACACTTGCAAGCAAGATGCAGCGAGGACTGGTGCATTTTCTTCAAATGCCAATGCCATGAGCTCAACAGCATCCTGCCTTGATGAAACAAATGAAGCTAGTTTCCTATCACACGCATCTTTAAGCCTGTCACAACAAAATGTATTTGCAAACACCAGGATCTCCAACAAGGTTTCCAAAGGCAAATCCTCTAAGCTATATGTACAACTAAATTCAGATACAGCCCTCATGCCCTCCAGTGAGATACCATTCTCCGACAAATCAACAAGATCAAGCTGAGATTCAGTGAATGGTCCATTGAGCATGGACCAGAAAGGGATCGATAGAGAAGCAATCTTGCACCTATTGCATGTCACCTTCCCATCCCTTATTTGGAAGGTCACTACAGGGGAAACTTTCGAAGATGTGCCGATATCACAAGAACCAAGTATCTCAAAGTCTCCCTCGGGCATCTCGGATGCGACATCAAGTGGCCCAAACTCTTTGCAACACTTCCTACATGACGCGAGGACATCGGATATGATATCCTCCCCCCGCTTCTCATACCGCAGCCATGCCCCAAACACAATCTTCTCATGCACAGTGGTCGCGCAGCGCCACGCAGAATGCAGGCTCCTCTGGCGCAATTTCGCCTCCCCAAGTCCCCGAAACACCTGGGACTGTATCAAATACAGCCCTGGCCGCTCGCTCGGCACACATTGCTCGAGCTCCTCATGGATCCTGGACAGCACCTCCACATAATCCAAGGGCTTATACAATGGTACGACCGGCGGCTCCGCGATCTTTATCAGCGACTCGCTGCACATCCAAACAATCGGCACAAATCATCAGTATATCTAGTTCAATTTTCAGTAGCATCACACAGAAATGAGCTGAACGCGGTGAGAGAATCGAAAATCTTCGAATCAAATGTAGTGGCCCTTACATAGAGGAAGGCGAGTAGGACGATTTGGGCAGCTTCCCACGCTCCACCTGCAGCCATGACTGCGGATTGAATCCATGGATATGCTGCTCGTCGCACGGCGATTCCGACAGGAAGCTGCTCCTCATAGAGCACAGGAAGGAGAAAACCTCCCAAATCTCCACCACTCCCAGATTTTTACACGAACCTGGATACGAATCACGAGCTAATGGGGGTACGAGCGGGAATCCACACCAACCCTAGCTAAAATTTGCGCAAGAAAACGCCAAGAATCTGAACAGAAAAAGGGTTGGGAATTTGGTGGCCAAGGTAACCACCTTTTTCCAGCTCCACCACCACCACCAACCCGATCCAAAACCACAAGAACTCGAACGAAATCCACAAGAAACGGGCCAAAGATGGGTCCCAAATCTCGCCGCAAAAATCCCACCTTTCCGCGCCCCCCGCGCCCCCCGATCGAATTCCACAGATCAAGAAGCCGCGCCCCCGCGGCAATGGCGGGGAGGAGCTCGGATTCGGGATCCTGCGACTGCAGGGAGCAGCTTCGATGCAGAGGAAGGGGGGAGAAGAAGAAGAAGAAGAAAAAGAGAGGATTTTTTTTTCCTCTCCTCTTTCTTCTCTCTCTTGTAGTGGTAGTGGATGTGGAGAGGAATAAATAAAGTATGGAGATTAGATTAACCTAGTGTTAGAGGAAAAAAATATTTATAAATTTTTTTAGGGTGTGCCTTTTGTGAAGAGAGAGAGGGAAAAAAATGGAAATGCTCTGCACATGAATCCATGCATAGGATGCAGCTGGATGGACCAGCTTTTGGGTGTAGGAGGAGGTGGAGGGGATGAATCATGAATGTGTTTGTTCAAATTTGTGTTTGTAAGTTTTGAAAGGTTTTTCAGGTTTGGTCTGAAATGGCACTTTGCCACAGGACATTGATTGACATTGTGATTAAGTTGAATTATGGAGGTATGGGTACAAATCAGGGTTTATATTCCTCTTTTGTAATTGTTGAAACATCTTTGGAGGTAAAAAATTTATTCCAAAATGCTTTCAGTGTATGTAAGTTGAATTATGGAGGTATTGGTCCAAATGACGATTTATAAATAACCCTTTTCAGATTTGACTGAAACATCACGGTGGTGAGAAAATTTCATTCGAAGCATTTTTAATTGATCATGGGATTGTTAAAAGCTTTGGATCTGAACATAAGTTACTGGCGGGCTTACTTTACAAATTTAAAAATTAAAAAAAAATCCCATATTGGGACCACATATTTTTAATTTTTCGCTCCACACACAATTGAAACAACAAAGTTGAAGTATCATGTGTCCACAAAACAATTGGAACAATGTTGCAGGTGTCAGCTGGTAGCTGAGAGTTTGGCATAGTTTGTCGTTTGTTGAGAACTTGCATTAAGAGCAGAAACCAAATTAGGTTTCGTTGTTATGAGACTTTTGTTTCCAAACTTTTTTAGGGGGGGTTTGGTGAATCTAAACTATAGTGAATTGAAGTGGCAATCGCAACTAGTAACAACCGTACTTTGTTTGTGGAGTCCGTGTATTTATATCATGTTCGCTGGTATGTTGTAGGTGGTACTAAATTTAGAATTAATAATACTACATGGGAAACTAGTTGTTTGGAAAAGGCTAACCAAATGCAGAGTCTCATAGGTTAGCCAAGAGTTGATTATATAACAAGCATCTTATTAACGATAAAAAATAATTTATAAGTGAAACTTTTATATACGTATTCTTAGCGACATAAAAATCAATGCTGAGAAGAAACTATGTTTAATATATCCTAAAATCAACATAAAAAATTAAGTTTTAGAATTTAAATTTTGTCAACGGCTGATTTCATATATGGGAAAAGATGAGGCCGACTGAGAATGAGAGTATTAATGATGAAATGCACACCTAAACAAACTCATAGGATGGTTCTATCAATCAATTTTAGCTGATGGAACCCATCTTTTAGATACTTACTCGCTCCGGTTTCATTTTAATTGACGTTTTATACAATGACACAGTCTACAAAATATATTTTTAACCTTATTTTTCTATTATAATATATATAATAAATAAATGTATGTTTACTTTTATTATAGTATTTTGAAAGACAAATCTATATATGTTGTTCTAGTTCCTCTAAACTAAATAATTTTTAAGTTATTTATGGTCAAAATTATAAAAGTTTGACTTCAACTTTATCTAAAACATCAATTAAAATAGAACTGGAGGAGTACTGATCAATAGTGAGTAGGAGTAGTAGTTAGTTGTGCATGCATGCATGAATTTAGTTGAGGTAGATGGACCAGCAAACAGATGATGGATTGGATTGGATTGGATAAATGGGGTCACGAGATGAGCACAAGTAGAGTGAAGACTTAGCTGCTAAAAAAGAGGTCAAAAAAGAAGTACATATATGATACAACTAGAAAAAAAGGGCCAAGGGTTAATGTAGACGCATTGATCGATCGGAATGGTCGTTGGGAATCATAATTGGGTTTGTGTGGTACCCTACTCTTGCTTATCAAGAACTTATTATGGTTTTGAAAAAAGAATTTGGCGTGCATTGCAAATTTGCAGCATAAATGCATTTTCCCAGCTAGCTCAAACTGCCTGCCTTGTAGACCCAAACACACACATTCTTCAGTAGAGAATTTTGGAATGTACTACTGTGAAATGGATTTGGAGATGAAACTAACGAATTCTTGGCTTTGTTTGTAATAATTTGAAGCTTTGATTGAACATTTGGACGCCGTTTTGCCCTTCATCGACCATCATGCATCCATACAGACTGCAAAAATAAATAGACTATAATAGAGGTCTCTTTTTGCTGCTCGATGCATCTTGTTCTGTGCTTGCTGCCCGACCATGGTGACAAACTCGGCGCCCTCTCATGCCTCGTGTTTTCCACCTCACTCACGCTATATCGCCGTCGCAAACATCGTCGTTTAAAATGCACACAAATTTGTGTAAAAATCTGAACACGAAAGTACAGATAAGATGGCATTCGTCGGGTTCTCATTTTTTTTTCCACCAATTTTGCAACGATGCATATCATTTGAACCCTTTTTTTTCACAATGGAGCTTTCTTGCTTGGTGTGATCTCTTGGGGTTAATGGGATGCTGAATAGCTAACTTTTTTTAAGATATAAACAAACAAATTAACTATTATAGAGTTGAAAGGATTTTTTTCGCCGGCCAGCCGGTGACAGAATGACGACCAATTTATTACTCCCTCCGTCTCATAATATAAGGGATTTTGACTTTTTACTTGTATTGTTTGACCATTCGTCTTATTCAAAAAAATTTAAAATTATTATTTATTTTATTTGTGACTTATTTTATTATCCAAAGTATTTTAAACACAACTTTTCGGTTTTTATATTTGCACAAATTTTTTAAATAAGACGACTGATCAAACAGTGCAAGTAAAAAATCAAAATCCCTTATATTATAGGACGGAGGGAGTAAGATTCAAGGAAAATATGTAATTATGGACAAGGATATAATCTTTGAAAAACAATTTGATCACTATTTTCTATTATAATATATATAGGAACATCAATAAATATATGATTTTAGTGAAATACTTTTTTAAAATAATACGTATAGCACAACATTGTAACGTAAATATTGAGCTCGGTCCATTCACTAACTTCACAAAGCCTTATTTCGATGGGCCGAAGTCACGGCCCATACACTTGCATGGGCCAGATCCAAACGAGGATTAGGGTTGAAAAAATATATTTTCCTCCCTTAGTTATAGATCCAGTTTCATTCGAAATCCCTCGATCGTAAAATCAGATACTTTCAGTACTGTAGATATAATATATCCCGTATAGTAATACTTAAATATAATATGCCTATATTTATACGGAAAGGTATTCCGTAAGTATGCATAAATATACACACCATAATGGGATTCCACACATACACCTTGTCCTGTTTGGACGCGGCTTGCCTGCTCCCCAGGGCGTGCTCCGATCAGTGCTCCCGTATACGCGGCACAATTCTAGCGTTTTCCTGTTTTTTTCCCCTTAGCCCACAACCAGGAGAAAGATTCAGAGAATCCCGTTCCATCAAACCGAAAAAAAATCGGCATTTAACACTCCACCGCTTCCAGCTACTTGCTCTTTTAGATTTCTTTATCCTGTGGCAGCAGTGGCGAAGGGTAGCCGGCTGCCGGCGACCAGAAACCGGCGAGCAGAGCCGGCGTGGTGGGGCGGCAGCGAGGGATGAGCAGGAGGAAGCTGCGGAGCGACGAGTGGTGGCGCATCACGCGCGGCCGTGCTGGTACGGGCGGAGCAATGGGTATCACTAGCCACTGGGTAGTGGCTGAAGACATCGTTGCTGATAGGTCTGAAAGGGAGCAGTACACCAGGATGTGCAAGAACCTATCAAACAACACTTCGAAGCTCTGAAGTAACATCTATGTATTGTAGAATTTCCTAAGTAAATGACCGCAATCAAGCAGGGGTCCTTAGAAGCATGATTTGATCTAAAACAACTGAGCCTTTTCAATTAGCACTATATATTGGTTTCTGACAGTAAGATCTGATTGCATTGCAGGTTTCAACTTCAGAGTTTACAACCCACACTCTGCTCCACATTTTATTTCTATCATGGGAGATGTTAAATAATTGTTGTAATGATTTGAGAAGACAAGTAGAGAATAAATAAATGAGCAGCCGAACATTATTCATGTACACTCTGTAGTTGAATCCATCAGGAGAGAATGATATTTTTCTCATAAACAGGGTTGATCGAAAGTTAAAAATCAATAATGACAAAGAACATGAGCATCTATGTTTATCTTTTGGGTTTCTGCTGGATCATTTAGAGTCTCATCCATTGCTTTTAAATTTTGGTGTGGATATCCAGAAGTGAGGTCTTTTTCTGAAAAATGTGCTGAGGTGACAAGCTAATCCTCAGCCATTCCAACGACGTTACAATTATCCAGGAGTGAGGTGTGATTTTGAAAAAATTGCTGAGGTGGCAAGCTAATCCTCAGCCATTCCCACACGTTTAATAAATCAATAGTTGACGTGCCGATCGAACAACGCATTTGCTTTGAGCTGGCAGGAGTAGCAACCATACCGCCCGCGCTGGCCGGACCGGCCGTACGCACCGCCACCGGCTCCGGCTCATGCGCGGTTCCGCTCTCTGGTCTGGTCTCGAGTCTCGACAGCGACCCGAACGGTCAACCACTTCCACGCCAAGTCGAAATCACCCCCCACCCGCACCATCCTCACCGTCCGTCCGCGCCGTGCACGCTCCCAGATCATCCTCACCGTCCGCGTGGGCCCCACCCCCCACCCCAACCCGTGCCGCACTCCTTCCTTTTCCCCGACAAGCCTTCCGCCTCTCTCCCGTCTCCTCCCCACTTCCCTTCCACCGTGGTCTCCTCCTCCTCCTCCTCTCCACCCGCATCCGTGGCTCCGGTTGCGCTGCTCGGGAGCCCTCGCGGCTTTCTAGGAGGTCGCTGGAGCGGCCGATTAGAGGGGCCAGCGCCGGCGGCGTCGGATTCGGCGCCTCTTCCGGTGATTCCCCTCTCCCCTTCCCCTTGTTTATCGCTTTTCCGTGCCGTTGCCCGGGTGCGAAGGCTTCTGGGAACTTTTACTGCTGTGTTCGTGCTGCTTCGTTTGTTTCGGATAGTTTCGTAGTCTCATTCTCTGCTGTTTCGTCCAGCGCCGTGTCGGTGCGCTTGCGCTGCGGTATGGTCCCCGCGGCCTGGTTAGGGTTTGGTGTCGAGGTGGTCGGGGGAGTCTTAGGGAAGGCGGCATTGTTGTATGGAAAACTGGGGGTTCGGCGATGAATCCGGATCGAGCGCCCGTTAGAGTTTATGCGAGCTTGGTGCTTCGTTTTGGCGAATTTTTGGGCCGTTTTTGATTGAAGCCAAAACGTGACCCTACCAAAATTTTGTTAAGTTTAATAGTAAATGTGCTAGTTTGGATTGAAGCCAAATAATTGGTAATTCCCACGCTCAATTTGGCTATATTCTAGAATCTTCTTCACTCATACTAAATTTTGGTTTTATATTGGTATTAAACCAAACATATACTAGCTAACTTTGTCTACCAAAAAATTGGTAGTGCCTAGATTTTGGTAATTGGTAATTGGTAGGGTAGAGAACCAAATAGGCCTTTGTTCCGCTGTATTTATTCTGTCAGTAAGAGAAACTTGCAACCTTTGTTTTGCTTTCTTGTGTTTGGGTGTAACTGTAATTCCATTTTTATTTTTTTTTTGGGAGGAAAGAGACAGGGAGAACTCCAAGCTCATCCATTTTACTACTCCCTCCGTCCCACCCACAATATAAGGGATTTTAAGTTTTGGCTTGCAACGTTTGACCACTCGTCTTATTCAAACTTTTTTTGCAAATATAAAAAACGAAAAATTATGCTTAAAGTACTGTGAATAATAAAGTAAGTCACAAATAAAATAAATAATAATTTCAAAAAAAAATTGAATAAGACGAGTGGTCAAACGTTGCAAGTAAAAACTTAAAATTCCTTATACTATAGGACGGAGGGAGTAGCATTCACTTCCCTCCGTCCTTACGTCTGCGGATTACGCACGTGAGAACTGCGGGGGAATCACCGGCGTCCGGCGTAAGCCTAACCTCCTGCCGTGAGGTGATTTTATTTCGTTCAAGTTTAAATACTTTTATATTTAAATTTTTTTTATATTATTACATTGAATATATGTACGCACTCTGATGGAGAAACTATCTTTGATCGGTCGGTCAAAATCCACAATAGTCAGGTTGCAATAAAAAACTGCTGGTTAAGTTTAGAGCTATTTATTTTAAGTAAATTTCACAAAACTACAGGTATTTTTCACAATTTATCACAAAAATACATATTTAAGATCTTGTTTTATTAAACTATAGATTTAGTGTCTACTTTATCACAAAACTACAGGTACTTTATATAATCTATCACAAAACTACATATTTAAGAATTTATTTCACAAAACTATAGATTTAGTGTATTCGTCTATCCCAGAACTACACATTTAGTGTCTTCTTTTATCACAAAACTATAGGTTTAGTGTCTCCATTATCACAAAACTACAGGTTTTAACAACGCTAAAACATATAGTTTTGTGATAAATGAAGATATTAAATATGTAGTTTTGTGATATATTGTGCAAAGTGCCTGTAGTTTTGTGATAAACGTAGACACTAAATCTATAGTTTTCTTAAACAAGCTTTTAAATATGTAGTTTTGTGATAGATCGTACAAACTATATGTAGTTTTATGAAATTTACTCTTTTTTTTATCTTTAGTCTCGGTTGGTGTTAAAAGATCTTTATTACAGCAATCGAGACTAAAGATCTATTTCTAGTCCCGGTTGGTAACATCAACCGAAACAAAAGATCGGCATGCGCGGCGAAGAGTACAAGGCATGTGCAAGATCGAGGAGGAGACGGGTGGCCTTATCTCTTCCTCTCTAACCTTATCTCTTCCTCTTCCTTCTCTCCTTTTAACTCCTCTCCTCCTTTCCCTCCCCCATCATCCCCACTATGATGGATGAGCCGGGCGGCCGGGCAGCGCGGAGGGCCGGGCGGCCGGAGGCCTCGCGGCGGCGGGCGGCGTGGGAGCAGGCTTTTTTTTCTTTTTTTTAGAATTTATGATTCGGATCTGTGTATTTGATTTGTGTGTGATGTGAATATGTGATGTATTGTGATGAATTTTGTAGAAGTTGTGATGTAATTTTTTTTAAGATTTTGTGATGTATTTGGATATGGCCGATTTGGGGATTTGAGGATTTGGGGATAATTTATTTGGGATTTTGGGATGGGGATGGAGTGAAATTAATATATTAAAAACACAATGAAGAAAAGAAAAAAAATAATATATCAACTGGATCTAGCTAGCCTAGCTCTATCTTTAGTAACAATAAATGGATTTTTACTCCTGGTTAATTCACTCGGGACTAAAGATAGTATTCTTTAGTCCTGAATTCGTAGTGGAAAGTTTTCCAACCGAGACTACAAAGGGTTACGAACCGTGACTAAAATTCCAATCGAGACTACGAAGGGTTACGAACCGGGACTAAAAAGCACTTCTCCACCAGTGGAACACTCTCTCTGTCAAAAAAAAAAAAAAGAGACAACCCTATGTCCATATTTAATGTACTAGGAGGGGGTGAGGGGGTGTTTTTTTTTTTTAAAGGACGGAGGGAGTTACTGTTAGCACTTGCTAGTTACTGTTAGCACCTGCGCGTGTAATATTTGCAGAGCACACATAAATGTGTTGTTCTCACGTGCGTAATCCGCGGACGTAAGGCGTATTAGATTTTTACACGGTATCTAACATCATTTATTAATTCCTACAAAACTGATATTATGTTAAAATACATTGAAATAGTTCTATTCCGATTCTATAGTTTTTAACATGCGGAAATGTAGTACTCATTTAAGTAGTACTAGTAGTCAACATTTTAATCTATAATACTCCATCCGTTTCTAAATATTTGACGCCGTTGACTTTTTTATTAAAAAAAATTAAGTTATTATTAATTCTTTTCCTATCATTTGATTCATTGTTAAATATACTTATATGTATACATATAGTTTTTCATATTTCATAAAAGTTTTTAATAAGACGAACGATCAAATATGTGCTAAAAGCCTAAAAGTCAACGATTTTGGCCGAAATTTTCGTTTTTCTCAAATTTTAAAATATTTGACTAAAATATAGTTTTTCATATTTCATAAAAGTTTTTGAATAAGACGAACGGTCAAATATATGCTAAAAGCCTAAAAGCCAATATCTCGGCCGAAATTTTCGGTTTTCTCAATTTTTTGTGAATTTAGTCAAAATTTGGTCAAGTTCAATTAAATTGTCCAAATTTCAGAAAATTTCGGCCTAAAAATGGGTGAAAATTTCGCCGAAATCGAAATTGGAAACCCTGGCTAGGGGATGTACTGATTAATCGCAATATTTTTTTTTTCAAAATTTAGTTATCAGCAACATTAATTTGAAATACCTACAGGGCAACAGACTCCCGCTTCAGTTAAAGAGTGATGGCTGAAACCAAGATCCATGCAAACAAGCAAGCATAAGTTGCCATGACGAAATGCATCAAAACAGACATCAGAAATGAGCAAACGGCACAACGCAATACTGCCGGTAACTGTGTTAAAACGTCATCCTCCAACACCGCAGAAGCTCCCGGGCATGCATCTGTCACTATTCCGTCCAATGTTGGCGAGAACACTATGGCTGACAATAATGGTGTTAGACAGGAATTGTCAGACAAGGAATCCGACACCAGAAGGTTACCTCTGCTGCTGCGGGAATGCTCTCTCATTTCTTGAAAGGCGTGTTCAATCACCACCAAGAAGGTTACTATATTATTCTTTTTCTATTTCTCCTGTTGGGGTTGATTCTGGCATCCACTGCAACATGGCTCGCTCGTAAGCACTTCGCCCAGGCAGTTGCCCTTCTTGCACTTGTTTCACAGGTTCTTGTGGCTGGTTTGATCGCGTCCACATTTTCATAACAAAGGCTGAAGGACTCTGCGATTTGCTCATTCATTTAGGGGTAGAATTGTGGTATATGACATCATTTACCACGCATGTCTCCACAAATACGATGGTGTGCATACTTTAGTTGGTACAAAGGGTATGATCGAGTTATACTTCCAATGTAAAAAAAAAAAGAGAGGGATAGAATAGTATATTATAAAATTTACTTGCTGTGATACTAAAATATTGATTAATAAAATGTTGCTATCAGTTTGTCCCAATGATCTGCTTGGCAATTTCAGTAATGCATTGTTCTCAGTTCTCAGTACTAAGTATCCCAATTTATAGGATGCTCTTATTTTTGGAAAAAATAAACTCGGTAGTTTTAACTAATAATTACTTAAGCGATATCTACATCATTTGATTTGTATTTAAAAATATTTTGAGGTGATATTTTATAGTCGTTGATGACATGATATGAAATAAAGTAATGGTTAAAATATATCATAAAAGATCGTGTAAAAATATAAAAGCCTTGTAATTTAGGACAGAGGGAGTACTGACGTGTAAGTGTAAGACAAATTTATTTTGTTAAAAATCTATCAAATTGAAGTCAAATTTGTCAATTTGATTCAAATTTATCAAATTGAAACCAAATATATTAAACTTGTATCAAATGTGAAAGATATGTCAAAAGGTTTGAATATATGCATGTTTTGATGTAACAGGGCCAATAAAAAAGCAAGGGTAAAAGGGACTATTTGCTCCTTAGTTAACACTGTTAACTCCTCTTAACGGAATATGGCTAGCCTTTATCTTCGATTTTGGAAAATAGGGTCAAATAAGCAAACTATAAAAAGTAGGGTCAGATTAGTGGGTCAGATTAGTGTTAGACTCCAAAACATGGTCAAATAAGCAATTTCCCCGGAAAAAAATGTTGCCTGCAACGCTTTGTACATACAATCAGATGTTTACATGAACAAATTTTAACTATCACTAGAACATAGGCATATTAGGCTGCGTACGTTCGAGTGTGCACATGTTTATCCTGCTAAAGTGCTAATCAACTTCTACCGTGTTCTTTTTATACCAAATGGATGAATAATTCAGGGTAGTTATTCAATTGTACAAATGAATTGATTAACTAATAATAAAAAAATTGAACATAAATTTATAATAATATTCTAAGAAATTTATTTATAGAATTTTTATCAATAAAAATCACATATTTAGGAGTTTAGAAAACATGGACAATATTCATCCGATATTTAATACAAGCCAAAAAAAAAGAAAAAAGAACACCATATCAAACAAAATTTCAATGACCATATATATATACCATCATCCATAACAGTTTGCATATACCATCATCCATAACCGAACGCACTCTTAGAGTTATAAACAACTAAGGTATACAGCATTAAATAAAGAAAAAACTAGTTCAATAATTTTTTTAGATGTATAAGATACTAGTGCCTTCCAACGGATAGCAGACAGATCGCAATGTTCCCAGAAATACTACTCAGATAGACATAGTACGCATATCATCTATCAATTTAATCAAATGAGATTAAGAAGGGAGTTTTTTTTTTTGATCTCATGTGAAAACCCTTTTTGTTTTATTATAAGCTTTAAGTTAGCATTGCAATCTGAAGTCCAAAACAATAACCTTACCAAAACTATGCACGAGAGATTGTTTATTCTTTGGACCCAAACCACACATCATAATCAAATTAGTACTGTCACAAGATGGTTAGTATTATATAGAAGATTCGAACAGTGGCAGGGTAAATAGTAAAATAGCTTTAGAAACAGGTTCCAAATAGTCTACGGATCGACATAATTATATTCATTTGCATTTGCATGTGTACGAAAGAAAAACTTGTACATCTCAAGCGTCAACACTACACAAAAGGCAAAAGGGGCCAACGTCAATACCCTGAGGCACGAGGTGGGGCCACGAGGTTGGATGGCCCACATGTCGGTGACGGTGAGTGGATTACCCTGAGGCACTAGTACTACGAGTACTACTTACTGCTACTGCTACCGGTGAGACTAACCCCCTCAAAACGCAATAAATAGCGCTGAGAGTACGGCAGAGACGCTCAGAGTACTCCCCCACGTAGTCGTCTACGGAGTACTCTTCACTTACGGGGGAATCGTCGGCGTAAGCCTAACGCCCTAACCCTGCCGAGCTGACTTTATTGTGTTTAAGTTTAACTACTTTTATATTTAAATTTTATAACTATTTATTAATTACAAATTTATTTATTTATTACATTTATTAATACATGCACATATATACATGCCTAGCTAGCCAACTGCGTGCGTAGTCCTAATCTCACTTAGATTTTTACACGACATATAACATCATACTGTAATCACCGACTAATATATTATCGATAATTTACATATATACTTAACTTCATACAAATCTAACGATACTACTACATACGTGGCACTAAATAAAATACACACTCTCTCATTTTTTTTAGAATACTATAAAATAAACTATGGCCACTACTCCACTAGTTATTACTAGTAGTAGTTACTTAACCTATTTTATTAATTCCTACAAAACTGATATATTATATTAAAATACATTGAAGTAATTATTCTATTCCGATTCTAGTCTTGTAGTATTTCAAAAAGTTTACAAAATGTCGTCAGCTGATATTTTTAAGTTAAAAATGTAGTATAATGTTAGAACTTGAAAATTGTATTTTGGGACGGTTAGTATCAGACCTGACACTGACAAATATATACTGTATCTCTTTAATCCAACGATTCATTGATCTCCTCCATTCTCAAGGTCTTAGCTAGGGAAGTAATTTTGTCCCTTAGCTATTCAACTCAATACATTTGTCAGTTCTTCCCCAGCAGTGAGCCGACGGCCGAGCTCCACGAACAAGCAGCTACGGACGGCGGCGGCAGCGCCTCCTCCGGCGAGGTAGCGGGATTGGCGGATCCGGGTAAGGCCTTGTTCGATTTGAATGGAATTGAAAAGGATTGGAGATGATTGAATGTGAATAATTCCACACCATGATAGGTGTGGAATAAATCCCCTCCAATCCCTCCCTCGTGAGGATTAACCGAACAAGGCATGGGAGGGTAGGGGCGAGGAGAACCAGTCACATGCACTGGGATTAGAGGGGGATCGATGGCGACGAGGCGGCGGCGGTGTTGGTTTGCAGGGACAAGAAAAATAGAGTGGTTAGACTTAGAATTAACTTAGAAGACGGCATGGGAGGAGATCGAGGTGGTGTGGGGGATCAAGCAGGGGCGAAGCTAAGTAGTGTTATGGGGGTTCCTAGGCACCCGGCTGCAAAAGAAAAATTAGTGCTTAATACCCCTTTGTAACCATATGTGCACCCCCCTCAGCTAAGCTTGGTGTACCCCCACGCTAGAAATCAGGCCATTGAAGCACGAACGGTACAACCACAACCACGATAGGAGCCCAATTCAGTCCTGCTTGCCGCATCACCGTGAGGACGTACGCACACGCACGCCTCTTCTCTTTCTTTTTTTCTTTTTGGCGACTCGCTCTTCCTCTTTGTCCCTACCAGTGCCGACGCCTCTTGCCGCTAATGCCACAATTAATCCTCGCCTCTTACCGCCAATGCCACAATTAATCCTGGATAACTAATCGACGCCTCAGCAAGATGATGGGATGTCACCGAGGCTGGGCACAGGCAATTCCTTGCCTCCTCTATCTTATGTTCTTTTTACTAATTCTTTACCAGTCAATGCATTCATTCGAATAGCTCCTTCACTTTTCAATTACGCGATAATAGCTCTGTTTTTTTCCAGATCGAATGGTTATGGTTAGTGCAGTTTTTATCTTTGCTTCTTTGTTAGTGCACTCCACTGTTATCGCTGATGATAACAACACGCAAAAATATTATAATTTACTATAATATTGCTTTAAAAAATATATAAACTACTCTCTCTGTTCAAAAATATAAGAAGTTTTAAAGTTGGACACGATTATTAAAAAAGTTCAGATGAGTAGTAAATGTAGGTAGGAAAAGTGATTGGTTGATAAAAGAATATTGATGGATAAATTGTTATATATCTTGCGATAAATTCTAAAGGCTAAAAATTGTTATATTCTCCCCCCCCCCATTCTTCTCTAGCTCCGCCCCTGGGATCAAGCACCATGGAGAAGAAACATGGCTTCCGCGTTGGATCGAGCACGACAGGAGAGGGAAGAAGAACATGCGATGATCGGTTGAGGGGCGTTGGATGCAAATCCAATGGCTGCTAGCTGTCCGGAAGCCCGGGTCTTCCAAAGCTGAGGTTTTTCTATTCTCCATTGGGCCAAAAAAAAATAAGGAGGAGAGATTCTTTTTTTAATCAATGGCGCAAACCCTTTTTGTTAAAAGAAAAATGGCTCAAGGGATTCATTCCCTTTCCTTTTCTTCCCTCTTCATGCATACTATGCCACACGGATGGTTTTGGTGTTCACTTCCTACTATGGTACTATAAGAAATGGGTTTAGTCACTAGAATCTGAGCAATTTAATTAGTTTTTTTTAAATGCTTTCATTGTGTGTGTTCTGACCTAATACCTCCGTTTCAGATTATAAAACTTTCTAGTATTGCCCACATTCATATATATATATTAATGAATCTAGGCACACATGAATGTCTAGATTCATTAACATATATATGAATGTGGGTAATGCTAGAAAGTCTTATAATATGAAACGGAGGAAATATCTAACAAAATTTGATCATACCTCCTAGGGGACCGATCGATTAATCATAGTGGCGGATCCAGAAAATTGATTCATTGGTGTCATAATGTGTCTATTAGTATCATAGTATGCTAATTATACTTATATCATGGTGTTATAATATATGGATAAACAGTTTTTGCTATAGATTTTATCAAAAGTCCTTGCTGTCGCCTGACACCGACCATTACATTGTAGATCCACCCCTGATTAATCACAATATATTATTCTTTTCAAAAAAAAATTACATTTGGAAGTACCAATTAGTCGTAATCAAACAACACCCTGCATCCTCAGCAACATTTGGTCTTGTTTTGCATTACCTACAGGGCAACAGACTCCTACTTCAGTTAAAGAGTGATGGCTGAAACCAAGATAATCCATGCAACCAAGCAAGCAGAAGTTGCCGTGACGAAATTCATCGAATCAGACATCAGAAATGAGCAAACATCACAACGCAATATTGCCGGTAACAGTGTTAAAACGTCATCCTCCAACACCATCGAAGCTCCCGGGCATGTGGTTGTCACTAATTCGTCCGAT